GGTGCCCGAAGCTCTATGACTCAAGGCCGTTCTGGCTCGAGGGGATCCACAACGGCCGCTGCCGCGAGGCCGCAGGTCGGTTCCGACCTCAGGCGTGCTCCTGCAGGGGGGGGGGCTGGAGAGGGGTGCCCCGTCCTGGCCCTCTCTTTCTCTGGTGCCATGGCGGGAACCCCTGGTCGCGGCGAATGCCCTGCCGCTCGCCGCTGGCGCCAGCGCCGGGCGGCCGCCGCTAGTGCTGCTCGCGGCGCCGCCGGCTCCGGCGCAGCGTGCGCCGCGACCGCCGCGCGCGCCGCCGGCGCCGCGGGCGCCATGGCCGCTGCTGGCGCCGTGGGCGCTGCTGGGCCCGCTGCTGGCGCCCGGGACTGGACCGACCTCGCGATGGAGCCTGCGGCGGCGGCGGCGGCTGTGCTGGGCTGCCGCCGCCTGCGCCTCGCGAGCGGCAACCGCTGGCGCCACTAGCGCCGCGGCACCCCCCGCGCCCGCCGCTGGCGCGCACGCTGCTGGCGCGCCCTGCGCCGCGGCGTCCAGCGCCCGCGCCGCGGCCCGCGCTGCTGCCGCCCGCGCCGCGGCCCGCGCTGCTGCTGCCTCCGTGACCACGGCGGCCTGGGCAGCTGCCGCGGCCCCGCCGACCTCGTGGCGGAGGAGGTTCGCGCGGCGGCAGCGGCGGAGGCGGTCGGCGGCGGGGCAGATGAGGTGAAGGAGATCGCCGTCCCGACGCCGTTCCCGACGCCGCTGCCTGCGGCTTCCCCGACCATCCCCTGGACGCGCCACCCTGCGTTCAGCCCCGCAGCTCATCCTCTGACGCCTTTGGCAGACGCATGAGGCTAAGCTGAAGCCCGACAGGATCAGCTATATGCCAGAATCCGCGCGTGCGAAGCCGACTATCTCAGGCAGAAGAAAGGGGTGAAGCTGGAGCCTGAGACGATCAGCTACAATTCTGGAATCATCACATGCGTGTGTGTGTGTGTGTGTGTGTGTGTGTGTGTGTGTGTGTGTGTGTGTGTCTGTCTGTCTGTCTGTCTGTCTGTCTGTCTGTCTGTCTGTCTGTCTGTCTGTCTGTCTGTCTGTCTGTCTGTCTGTCTGTCTGTCTGTCTGTCTGTCTGTCTGTCTGTCTGTCTGTGTGTGTGTGTGTGTGTGTGTGTGTGTGTGTGTGTGTGTGTGGGGGGGGCAAAGGAGTCCGTGGAAGAATGGGTGGACGTGGGCGGGGACGAGTCAGGGGGGCAATCTGATGAGAAACACGCCCTTCCCAACGCCCTGCTGGGTGCCCTTTCTCTACCCGACGCCCTACTGGGCGCCCAGCCCTACGCCGAGCTCGTCGGCCAGCCCGACGGCCAGCCCGACGACTTCACCGACTCCCCCTCCTACCCCCAGCCCGCCGCCTTACCCATGCGTCAACCGACGCCCAGCGCGCGGACGCCTCACCCGTTTCACCCGTCGCCTCACCCGTCCCTCACCCGACGCTTCACCCGTCGCCTCACCCGTCGCCTCACCCGACGCCTCAGCCCGACGGCCAGCCCGCCGACTCACCCGACGCCCAGCGCGCGGACAACGAGGAGTACCTGGAGGGGTGCGTGGGGGAGTGCGCGGGGGGGGACGTGAAGGAGTATGTGGAGGAGGGCGTGGACGTTGACGTGGACGAGGAAGAGGTGGACGTAGGCGTGGAGGAAGCCGTGGACGCCCTCACCGACGCCCACTCAGACCCTCAGCCAGCCGCCTCACCCTACGCCCAGCTCCCTCTCGACGGCCAGACCCCCTCCCCACCCGACGCCCGCCCCTGCGCTTCTCCCCACGCCCAGCCCCACGCCACTTCGGCTACGAGTCAGGGCTCCGCCCTTGCGAGTCGGGCGAGTTCTGGCAGATGCGAGGGACGAAGCTGAAGCTCGATGGTATCAACCACAATTGCAGAGTCATCGCGCGCGAAGCCGATACGATCAGCTACAGCTCCGAAATCAGCCAGCGCGAACTCCGATGCTGCCTTTGACGCCGCCCTCGACGACGACCGCGACGCTGCACCACGCCCGGGCCGACGCCCCCACCCCCACGCTGCTCCTGGCGCCGCCCCCGACGACGTTCCCGACGTTGTTCCCTCCCCGGACCGACGCTCCTGCTCCGACGCTGCCTTCGGCTCCGCCCACGACGAAGGCCACAACGCCGTGCCCCACCTGTGCCGACGCCCCTACCCCGATGCTGTCTCCGACGCCGCCCCCGTCGACGGTTCCGACGCTTTTCCCTCCCCACTCCGACGCTCTCACTCCGATGCTGCCCAGGGCTCCGCCACCGACGACGGTGCCGTACCACCCCTCGGCCGACGCCCCCACCCCCGACGTCGTTTCCGATGCCGTTCCCTCCCCAGGCCGACGCTCCTGGTCCGACGCTGCCTTCGGCTCCGCCCCCGACGGAAGCCACAACGCCGTGCCACACCCGGGCCGACGCCCCGCCCCGACGCTGCTCCCGGCGCCGCCCCCGACGCCGTTCCCGACGCCGTTCTCTCCCCGGGCGGACGCTCCCACTCCGACGCTGCCTCCGACGCCGCCCCCGACGACATTTCCGACGCCGCTCCCTCCCTGGGCCGCCGCCCTCGCTCCGGTGCTGCCTCGGGTGCCGCCCCCGACGACGGCCGCGACTCCCCAGGCCGACGCTCCAACTCCGACGCTGCCTTCGGCTCCGCCTCCGACGACGGCCGCGATGCCGCTCCGCCCCCAACGAAGGCCTCGACGCCGTACCACAACCTGGCCGACGGCCCCACTGCGAGGACGCCGCTGACGCGGCCCCTGACGACGTAGACGCCACTCCCTCGGGCCGACGCTTCCACTCTGACGCTGCCACCAGCTCTGCCTCGACGAAGGACGCAGCGCCCTACCTCTCCCAGGGCGACGCACTCACGCCGACGACACCTCCGCCGCCCCCGCCCCCCCCAACGGCGTCGACACTGCCCCCTCTCCGGGCCAGGTGCTTCTGTTCGGACGCTGCCTCCAGCTCCGCTCTCGACGAAGCCCGCGACGCCGCATCTCGCCAGGCAGGGCCGACGCCCCCAGCTCGATTCTGCCTCCGACGCCGGCCCCCGGCGACGGTCTCGAAGCCGTGCCCCTCCGGGCCGGACGCTGGCGCTCCGACGCTGCTTCGCACCCATGCCCCGGCACGGCAACCGACGCCGTGAGCGACACCACCACTGGCGCCCCTCGATGGCGGGCCGCACGCCAGGTGGAGCCGCTGCGACAGCTCCTCCGCCCCTCTCTGGCCGCCCGGCGTGGCCCCTCGGGCTGGGGCCTCTTCCCCCGCCTCCTGACCGCCCGCCTGGGGCAGTCAGCGTGCCCTCCGCTCGGCTCCCAGCTCTGCTGCTCGATGGACTGGCGTCACCCCTGGGCCACCCCCAGCTGAGCTCCACACACCCCTCCACACTTCGCCTTCCCCCGTCCCCCCGCCCGCTCCCCCCGTCGACGCTTGGTGGCTCTCCGCCTCCTCCTCGGCTGGCTCCTTCCCCTGTTCGTGTCTTCCTTGCCCTCGTGGTGTGTGTGTGTGTGTTGCCTCCCCTCTTTCCCTCGGCTCCTCCTCCTCCGTCGGTCGGTCCGTTGTCCCTCGCGTCCGTCCGTCTGTCTCCCTCGGCTGTTTGCTATCGCTCCTCGCTCCTCGCTTCCCTCTCTGCTTCGCTTGGCCCCCCTTGCCCTTGTCTTGCTGGCCCCCTGTCGTCCTGTCTGGCCGGCTTGGGCCTCCGCTGTATCGCGTCGGTTGCTGCTTTCTTACCTGGACAATTGGCTTGCGGCCAGGTCCAACCCGCGACGACCCAAAAGTGTGTGTGTGTGTGTGTGTGTGTATGTGCCCGACCCGACCCTGCCAACTTTCGCGGCTCCCTGGGCCTGCGACCATTTGCGGCACTGCCGCCTTCAGCTCGCTCTCCGCCGTCGCTCCTTGACGCACTCCTTGGTCGATCCACGCTCGGCTACTCGCTCTCCCCGCCTTCCAGTCCAGGTTGGCTCATGCCACCTTTCACCTACACAATACTTTCGTCCGCTCATCGCTCCTCCCCGCCATCCAGGCCCGAATGATTATGGCTGCCGCCGGGCGCTGCTGGTCTCTGAGAGCTCCGCCGGGCGTAGACGCTCCACGACGCCAAAAAAGCGTGCGCTGCCCTGCCTCTTGCAGTGCACACTTCGCTGTCCATTGCACCTGGGCCGCTGGACCGGCCCGCGTGCTCGCCGTGTCCGCGACTGAACGATCCAGATATGTGTATATGTAGATGTGTGTGTGTGTGCACTCTTTCCTTCAAGTCGCGGCTTGGCCACCCTTCTTCTCTACATGTGTCAGCGTCGGTGCTGGCACGAGTGCGCACACATATATATATATATATACACATATATATATGTATATGCATCGTCATGCATGTGCTATTAGCTACGTCTGGGACCGTGACTGCGTCTTTGCGTGTGGCCTTAGCTGAATCAGCGCCTGCATGCCTCCCTGGGTCGAAGAGGCTTGCTGTCTCTTCCGCTCATTGCGAAATCCTCGGGAAACCTACGAAGTGAATGCTTGCCTCGATCGCCAGCCCAACATGGCTGCACCTCTTTCCCCTCTTGCTTTCCCTGCCCCATTTCTTTCTTCCTTTCCATGTCTTTTACTCCCTCCCCTTTCATTACGTATTACGTTCTCTTTCTCTCGCTGTCTCTCTGCCTGTCCTTGTCCATGTCTGCGCGCTTTTCCTGTGGGACTTCGTCGTGCCTCATTCTCCTCTTGCTGGTGACAGCTCTTGTCGGTTCATTGGATCTGGCTGCCCGCAGCGCGCGGGTGGGGGGGCGAGATTGGAGACGCGCGGTTTCCTCGTGAATGCCTGTGCCCCTACCCCTATGTCTCTATCCCTGTCCTTCACCCTCCCACTCCCCCCCCCCTCCTCCCTCTCTCTATATATTTATATGTATGTATGTATGCATGTATGTTTGTTTGTATGTATGTATGTGTGTATATACACACCAAGTAGGGGCCATGCAGGAGGCGCGGCCCGCGAATGA